TAGGAAGCAGACGGATAAACATCATCTCCCGCTGGAATCAGATGAACTATTTGAAGAGTTCATTTGTAAAAACAGATCACTCCATTTGAATTTTTCTAAATTATATTTTTTGTTATGCATTCCAGGTAATATGGGTTGTTTTGATCATGTAAAAATAACTCGACAAAATACAGGTAACTTACAAAATTAAACTTAAATTGTTTTTTTATTTCATTTATTTATTTAAATTTTGTTTTTTGGTAAATGCAGATAACTCCAATGGTCATTTCATGTGTCAGAGTTAAACAGAGCCATATAATGGACACAACTGCAACAGGCTGTTAATGGGCTGTTATTATTAAACATCTATAAGATCATATCTTGGAAAATCTTAAGGCTGAATCTCAAATGGCTCACTGCTCCCTATATAGTGCACTGTGAGTTATGACATTTATTGCACTTTATGTCCAGTATGAATTGTGCACACATGGTAAAATCCACAGCAGTTCTTTATTAGACACACTTTATACTGTTTAGATGCAGTAGCCATTATGTTTTAGCCATTCTGCCTAAAACAGTTTGCGGCAGTGTTGCGTCACCTGACCCAAATACTGCATGCTGATTCGCTGAACGGATTTATGGGGTTCTGCTTGAGAACAGCGCTGGTGTTTGGCCGCTTCTGCTGTAAAATGTGGGCTTGCAATGCCCTGACAAAGGATCAATAACGGTGAAAAAACAGAGTTCAGAATGTGCTAAATGTTAAGAATAAATGCTCGTATTTTTTAAAGGACGGCGCTTATCATTTTTTGCTAATGAACTCTTCATCTTTAAAGGGCCCGTGTCCTACATTTTACTTGCATTTTCTTCCTCTACCAAAAACAGTCATCATTTTTGCATGACCATTTTCCACAGTACAGTACTGTGGAAAAATCAAAGACCGTCCTTTATTTGTTTAATTTCTGGTCAAAAACAACCATTAAGTACAATTTATTGATGTTTTAGCTTGAGGAAAAAAGCAGAAAACATATTTAACACAAAATTCATATCCTCAGAAATATCTCCTGAAAAATAAAAATTCTTGTCCTCAGTGGCTTTGATTGTAATTTATTTAAATGAAGGGTGTTCTCTGACTTTTGCACAGTACTGTAAATGAGCTCTGTTCTGATTGGCTGCCCTGCATTATGCCTCATTCAAAAAGCAGTCTGGGCTGAAACAGTCCTTATAACTTCAACACACAGATAAGCTCAATAGGCTGATATGCAGTATGTAAATGCATTGTTTTTGTATGGACTGGGCCGTGAATGGTACATTTAAGACAGTAATGATATTTACACACTACATTAAACTTTTATTTCAAAATAAAAATTAGAAATAATTGTTTTGCACTGATATACGCCCTTTATGATTGTTTTTAAGGCTGAAAGTTTAGTCCATTTGCCTTAGTTCTGCTTTCCAGCTTTAGGATTATCAAAAAGGAAAGAGCAGAGGAATCAGTCTCAAAACGTGGATCACATTTTTCATGTAGTTGACATGACATTCAGTAATATCAACTATTCCAGTATAGAGAGCAGTTAGAATGCATTGGCTTACCCCCCACCATAGAGAGAATGTTATGATCCTTGTATGAATTATGAATGAATTCTAATGGCCCCCCCCCACTGTGATTTTCTCCAGGAATTGGACTGAGGTCATCACTGAGGTTCATGCCTGGAGAGTCTGTGACAGATTAATCCGCAAATGAAAAGGATTTTTATTTCTATGCTCATGTTGTAGATGACCATTGTATATCTGTGTGTGTGTGTGTGTGTGTGTGTGTGTGTGTGTGTGTGTGTGTGTGTGTGTGTGTGTGTGCGCGCACTCCAGTGCCTCTTTTTGTTATAAAACCTTAATCGTGTTGCTCTTTCAGTGATTATATTCTATGAATTCGCTCCTTTTATGCACCTATAAGATGGTTCTCCAAGGGTTCTGTAGTAAATGCAATGGTTCTGTTTAGAGCCATGGGTTCTATATAATACTATTTCTTTGCATGGTGAAATTGTTCTTCAGACTGATGGAGAATGGGCTGTATATGGTTCTATATAGAACCTTTTTGAAAAGGGTCGTATATAGCACCCAAAAAAAAGGTTTTGCTATCGTTACATGTCAAGCTTGTAACAATATAAGAACCCTTTTTGGTGCTATACAGATCATTTTCAATGAATTTTCAAAGGTTCTATATAGAGCCGTGCTCGTACATCTGGTGTTCTGTAGCAGAGAAAGGTCTGGATACACCAAGTAAATGAAACCACAGATTGTTCACAGCAGATTGCTCCCAGTGATTGGTGGTACTGTCAGTTATGATTAATACTGGTGCAGATTTTAAATAAAAAGGTCAAAACACTGTCTAACGTGAGAACAATAGATCAATCTTAAAAATAAAAAAGGTGCTAAAAGGGGGTCTTTGCATGGTAGCATGGTTTCCTAAAAATCTATTTAATGGATGGTTCCTCTGAGAACCATTTTTGTAATTGACACTGAGTATGAAGTTAGAAACTCCACATAATATAAAGTTCTGGGAAGAAACCTTAAACTGGTGTAGAATCTCTTATTATGTGAATTGTGTTGTCTTATTATGTGTTTTTTAAACCTTTAAAAAGGTTCTTCACTCACACATAATTTACAAAATATTTCTCTAAAAACCTTCCAATGGATGGTTCTTTGGAGAACGTTTTCTCTAAATGCCATGAGTATGAAGAATTTCTAAGGTTTAAAGAATTTCCACATAAATCATAAAGCATAAATGTTCTAGGAATAATCCTTAAAATGGTGTAGCACTTTTACATTATGTGAAGGTTCTTTAAACCTTTAAAAGGTTCTCACATGTCATTTACAAAAATGTTCAATGGATGTTTCTTTAGAAAACCATTTTTGTGAATGCCATGTTTAAATATGAAGAACCTTTTTACAGGAACCCCTACATAATGTAAAGGTTTAAATGGAGGTTCTTTAAATCTTTAAACCTATTGTGAGGGTCCTTTAAACCTTTGAAAAGGTTTAAGTTCTTAGTACTCACACATTATTTACAAAAATTGGTTCTCTAAACTTTTAACAGAAAGCTCCTTAGAGAACCATTTTTGTAATGGCATGTGTAAATATGAAGAACCATTTTAAAATCTAAAGAAGTGCACATAGTGTACAAGTTCTAGGAGGAACCCTTTAAATGGTATAGAAACCTTAATATAATGTTTGAAGAACCTTCACCTGTAAAAGATTCAGGTTCTTAGCACTCACACACCATTTACACAAAGGGTGCTCTAAAAAACTTTCAATGGATGGTCCTTTGGAGAACCGTTTTTGTAAAGTGTGTGTGTGTGTGAGTGAGAGAATAACCTTTCAAGAACTTTCACAATGTACAGGTTCTAGAATGGGCCCTCAGAGTGTAATATCTTGACATGATGTGAAGGTTCTTTAAACCTTCAAAAGATTCTTCACACTCACTAATCTCTTTTTCCAAACATGGTTCTTTAGGTAAAGTGGTTCTTCGATGGCATCACTCAAAAGAACCCTTTGTGGCAGTTTTAAATGTGAAGTA